CTCTCAGATTCTCAGGAACATGAAAGGTAGCTTGTTTATGAATGAATTTTCCATCTGCTTATTTTTCTGAGAATGAGTCAAATGTATATCAGCAAAAGTTGCAAATGGAGAAACCAATTGGTGATGCTCCCAATTCTTTCTCCTCTTTATGATGCCCCGAACTCTGCACAGGGAAACTCTGGCTGTCACCTTTGCATCTGCTGAGGGTTGACACTGTCAATCAAACTCACACCAATTATTACTGCAAATAATCCTTACAATTATTCTGTGAGGTTGACAGGAGAGGGAGTGTTAATTATCTTGCTGTTACAGACATGAACACTGAAACCCAAAAATTGAAAGACATCTGCCCAAAGTAGCACAGCCAAAAAAGACAAATGCCTAAGGTCCCTTACTGTTGGGAAGATGGGGCAAGAATGGAATAGAAAAGACAGAAGTTGAAACTGCGGTAAGAGGGAATTAAAGTATGAAATCAGAAAGATGTTCTTCGAGGTTACTGGCCTGAAGACATCACTAGCATGGTACTTATACAACCTCATTGACCTCTATTTCTTAGCAAATCCTCCCCATTACATCCAAGTTACTGATTTGGCCAAACAAAGCTGGTCAATGATCAAAGAAATTGCCATGAAGAGCACTCAGTCATAAGAGGTATACATGCAGTAATTAAATGGCCATTTGGCAAGAGATTCCTGAATCAAATGGGAGCTTTGACTGAGTGACCTTTCAACTTACTCCCAAGTCTGAGAGTCCAGGCATCAGTGTTTCCACGTTTTCACTTTCCTATCTCTGAGTCTTTACTCATGCTGAAAATCTTGGATGCACCTCCCCTGCCAAACAGCTCATTCAAACTGTCATGACTCTTCAAGACCTAGCACTGGGCACATCACTTTTTGGAAGCTTTCCAAGAAAACCTACAGGCCCTATTTTTGTCATATTTCACCTAACTTCTACACCACCATCATTTAGTTCTCTCAACTAAAAATGATCTTTTTTTACTTCCTAGTGATTACGGCTGGATTGTGTCTCACCCCCTCAAAATTCATATCTGGAAGTTCTAACTCGCAGTTCCCCAGCATGTGACTATAAGGATATAAGGTGTTTGAAGAGGTAATGAAGTTAATATAAATCAGTTGGATAGACTCTTATCCAGTATGACTAGTACCTTTATAAGAGAAGGAAATTTAGACACAGAGGAAACAGAGGGAAGAACGTGTGAAGACTCAGGGGAAGACGCCCATGGAGAGAGGCCTAAGAAGAATACCAACCTAACAATTCAGTCTCAGACTTTCAACCTCCAGGACAGTGATAAAATAAATTTTTGTTGTTAAACACACTCAGACTGTGGTACTTTGTTATGGTAGTTCTAGCAGACTACTACACTGACCTTATGAACATTTTTCAATTTTCTATCACTTAAATAGAATTATAAATGTTCTTATTCACAGCAGTAAAAATGGATTAATCACTTTGATATCTCCTACAATTGTGATTGGCATATAGGAAATAACCAATAAAAACTTGGATTTGGGGTGGCCAACAGGTGACATGGTGGTTTAAGTTGTTGGACTCCCACATGGCTGACTGCAGTTTGAATCCTGGACCTTGTAGCTTGCCTTTTCACTTTCTCTCCTCTCTCTCTCTCTCTCTCTCTCGCTCTCACTCTCGCTCTAATCTTTCTCTGGTGAACACACGTGTCTTGTAGCAAATTGGAGAAAAAAACATAGTAGTAATACATTAAATTAAAAATTCTTTAAAAAATCTTGGATTTTTTTGGTGGATATGTTTATTCAACAATTTTTATGGAAAATGTCTATTACCAAAAAAACTATGCATATATTTCAAGTTTTTTGCACCAAGATAAACTTGTACCTTGGGGACTGGCAGGTTGCATGGTGGTTAGGGTGCTAGATTCCCACATGGCCTACCACAGTTCAAGTTCTGGACATGGTGGTTTGCTTTCTCACTCTTCCTTTCTCTATCTCTCTGTCTCTCTCTGATCAAATTAAAAAATGATAATAATAATAACAAATGAAATGAAATAAATAAATTATTATTTTAAATAATTTGTACCTTAATGCCACTTTTCCACAAAATTTTGAAGTCCTCTGGTACAATGAACACACTAATTGTGTACCTAAGAGTGTTAAGCAAGAACTATAGCTATAAGAGTTGAAAAGTATCTTAAATGTTACCTTTTCCAACATTTAATTTTACTGATGAGAAATTACAGTCCCAAGGAATAAAAGGAATTCCCAAAGTCACAAAGTAAGTAGTGGTTGGGATGGGAAAAAAATCTTAAACCTTTGATTCTTGAGAGAAAGTAGGATACAAGAGTGAAAAGGTGTAAAAATTTAAAATGCACAACTATTTCAATGCTAGTATTGGGCTCTTAAGGCTAACATTTCTATTTGTGATTTGACAAAGCAATATTTGGGATATATATTACTACCTACTGGTTTCTAATTTTAGGGTTTGTAATGCCCCTAAAATCAGATGCACAAAAAGACTTAGTCCTAAGAGAAAAAAAAAAAGAGAGGAAGAAAATATTAAGAAAGACCCCTCAAAAATACACAAACACTTGGAAACTGAACAACCTACCCCTAAGTGACTTCACAACAACTGAAGAAATTAAGACTGAAACCAAACGATTCATTGAAATAAAAGATAATGAACAGATGATTTTTTGTAACATTTGTGACACAACAAAATTGGTCATAAAGGGAATTTTATAGCAATCATTTCTCACAAGAAAAAAATAGAAAGGTGAAAAATAAACAATCTAACAACACATCTCAGAGAACTAAAAAAAACCAACAACAATATCAACAACCAAAAATAAAGAAATAAATAAGCAAAAATAACAAACCCCAAATACCAGGAGAAAAGAAAAGAAATAATAAAAATTCTAGGAAAAATAAATGAAACCAAGAATAAAAAACTATACACAAAATAAGTGAAACCAAAAGCTGGTTGTTTAAGAAGATGAACAAAATTGACACACTTCAGAGGAAAAGTACCAGATGAATCATATGAGCAAAGGGCAGCTGTCAGCTCTCAAGTAGAGCTCACTTCCATCTGCAGTCCCCTGTCCAGTCAGGGAAACTGAGGCAGGGCCAGCCATTGGCGCCAGCTCCAGCTCCAGCCCCAACTACCAGAGCCCCCCCTTCTCCCCACCAAAAAGGGCAGCTCTCAGCTCTGAAGCAGAGCACACTTCCATCTGCAGCCTCCTGCCCAATAAGGGAAACTGAGACAGGCCAGCCATCTGCCCCAGTACTAGCTCCAGTCCCAACTCCCAACTTCAGAGCCCAACCTCTTCCCTGCCACCAAGGTAGGCTGTTTTTTTTTTTCTTCCTTTCATTCTTTTGCTAATTCTTTACTTCTCCTTACCTCATAGATAAGCTCTCAGCTCTCAAGCAGAGCCAGCATTCATCTCCAGTGCACTGCCAAAATCACATGGAGCATTTGCACAGTGTGTGACTTTTTCTTTTTTCCTCTATCATATTCTTTTTCTTCCTTCTTATATTGTCATCCTCTCTTTATCCTCCACCCACCCAGAGGAACTAGACAGGACTAGAAGATAATTTTCAAACATTTTAGCATCATGAGGCTCTCATGTGTCCTTGCCCTATATCAAACCACCTGCGAAAAAGTAGAAACTGCTCCTTTTTTATTATTTACTTGGAACACGAAAATTATTTTATTTATTTTTTATTTTTTATTTTTTGGAGAGATTTTCGCTATAGGGTGCGTGCGCTCGCCAGACAGACAGAGACGTAGAGACAGAAAGCGAGAAATCACCCCCCAGAGGGGATGGTCACGCCACAATCCCTTCCCCATTCTCCTCTCGGGATCTTGGGCACGCACGCACACGCGCCCGGCATGAGTTTTAAGCCACCAGGTCTGGGACACGAACTGAGGTCGACTACATGGGAGTCCAGCGACATAGCCATTATGCTAACTGCTGGTTCCCAAAATTATTTTATTAAAATTTAATTATTCATACAGAGCAAGACTAAGGCACAAATAGCTCACAGGAGTTCCATGCAGATCAGTACGTGACAAAATACCAAATCTGATTTTGCTGGAGTCATAAAGCACACCGTGCCAGATCAGAGCTAAGTGTATTTTTCATTTGGTTATCACTATGAAAAGGAGAAAGAAAATCTATTTTGTAGTGGGAAGTGAAAAGATTTTCATTCTTGTGCATTAGAGACCTAATCTGTTTTAAACATTTTTTAAGATTTGTATTATCATCATAATCTTCTTTATATTACATTGGATTACATATAACTTTATGGTGCATTACATTGCTTTTTCAAAAGGGAATGCC